GAAACCAATTTCTTTGTAAAATTCGATAAAAACCTCTATAAAGGAATCGGTTGAACAGATATTCTCAAAATTCGGCCATAGTTGACATTGGCATTGACAATCATTGACAACAAAAGGTTTATGTAAATCATAAAACGCTTAAATTGGGTCTTCGCGCTGTCGCCTTTTTTTGACTATCCGACTTCATGCCTACATAAAAAACTATAGAATATAAACTTTATAATACTACACTAATGCTAAACTAAACTAATAATACTAAAAAAAAATTTTCATAATATTTCTTGATTCTGTAGAAAAATAGGCCTTTCTAATGCAGCAAGCATTAGATTAATTGATATTGGGTTGATGGAAAAGTTCTTTCCGAAATTTGGGGAGTGTACCTTAAATTTGTCAAGTTTTGACGTTTTATAGCTTATGCTAAAGCTGAATCCAATACAGATCGATGGGTACAAAAGCCGCCTTGAGATATCTCTTTTCTAAAAGATTTTACAGCTATTTTAGTAAAGTAAAGGGCAGCAGAGCCAAAAAATGGATGTTTCCACGTTTTCAGAAAATGGCTTTTCGTTAGTTTTCCGTGCGAATTTGTTTCTCATTTCTAAATGCTAGTGGAATGATTTATATCATTTATAAATAAATCATTTATAGATAAATCATTTATATAAATACTTTATTCAGAAAGAAATAAAGTGCGAAAACGCATTAATAAAATCTATTATATTAGATAATTTGCATATCTAACTTTAATCGAACGAAAAATGAACCTGAGCTTGAACAAAACCCGAACAATCCCCAGGTCTTTCATTTGTTTTCCTCCAATCCTCCATCCAATACAATGGAAATTTCAAAGTCTAGACTCAAAATTGAATCTGTGACAATGCAATAATCTCTTCCTTTTTTCTCATTAGAAGCTTTCATTTTCTTTCTACCACAAGTCATTCCAGACGTGTTCCTTTAAAATAACACCTGTCTTTTTCTATACTTTCCATTACTGACGTCAATAATCTCTTCCTTTTTTCCTTCTTTTTACCATGTAAAATCCACAGGTTTTAAATGAATGATTTCAAATTTTCAGGACAAGGAGAAGCTATTGAATTTCACGAATTTTAGAGGTGGCTTTTTAGAGCAATCTTAATTTAAAATTTAAAGCAAATTTAAAAAGCAATTTGTATAAGAGAGTTTATTTTGACAAATCAATACAATCATTGACAACAAAAGGTTTATGTAAATCATAAAACGCTTAAATTGGGTCTTCGCGCTGTCGCCTTTTTTTGACTATCCGACTTCATGCCTACATAAAAAACTACAGAATATAAACTTTATAATACTAAACTAATGCTAAACTATTAAAACTAAAAAACAAATTTTCATAAGATTTCTACATTTTGGAGAAAAATAATAGGCCTTTCTAATGCAGCAAGCATTCGATTAATTGATATTGGGTTGATGGAAAAGTTCTTTCCGAAATTTTGGGAGAGTGACTTAAATTTGTCAAACCTTGGCATTTATAGCGAAAGCTGAATCCAAGACCGATCGATTGGTACAAAAACGTTTGAGATATCTCTTTTCTAAAAGCTTTTACGGCTATTTTAGTAAAGGGCAGCAGTGCCAAAAAATGGATGTTTCCACGTTTTCAAAAGATGGCTGCTTTGTGCGGATTTGTTTCGTGCGGATTTGTTTGTCATTTATAAATGCAAGTGGAATAATTTATATGATTTATAAATAAATTATTAAATTATAGATAAATCATTTATAGATAAATCATTTATTAAATACTTTATTTAGAAAGGAATAAAGTGCGAAAACGCATTAATAAAATCTATTATATTAGACAATTTGCTTCAATTTGTCTTCTTTATTTCTCTAACTTTAATCGAATGAAAAATGAACCTGAGCTTGAACAAAACCCGAATAGCTTACCTATTTCCAATCCTCCATCCAATAGAATGGAAATTTCAAAGTCTAGACTCAAAATTGAATCTGTGACAATACAATAATCTCTTCCTTTTTTCTCATTAGAAGCTTTCCTTTTTATCACAAGTCATTCCAGACGTTTTCCTTTAAAATAACACCTGTCTTTTTCTATGCTTTCCATTACTGACGTCAAAAAACAATTGAAATTAATTAAAAATCAAAAATCCAATGGAAAACCAGTAGATTTTGGCTTTATTTTTTTTACCATGTAAAATCCACAGGTTTTAAATAAATGATTTCAAATTTTCAGGAGAAGCTATTGAATTTTTTGACGTTTTATAGCTTATGCTAAAGCTGAATCCAAGGCAGATCGATTGGTACAAAACAACGTCTTGAGAATCTCTTTTCTAAAAGCTTTTACGGCTATTTTAGTAAGGGGCAGCAGAGCCAAAAAATGGCTGTTTTCACGTTTTCAAAAAATAACTGTTTTGTTAGTTTTCCGTGCGGATTTGTTTCTCATTTATAGATGCTAGTGGAATAATTTATATCATTTATAAATAAATCATTTATAGATAAATCATTTATATAAATACTTTATTCAGAAAGAAATAAGTTGCCAAAATGCATTAATAAAATCTATTATATTAGACAATTTACATATTAATGTGTCTTCTTTATTTTTCTAACTTTAATCGAACGAAAAATGAACCTGAGCTTGAACAAAACCCGAACAATCTCCAGCTCTTTCATTTGTTTTTCTCAAATCCTCCAATACAATGGGAATTTCAAAGTCTAGGCTCAAAATTGAATCTGTGACAATGCAATAATCTCTTCCTTTTTTCTCATTCAGATTAGAAAGCTTTCTTTTTTCTATCACAGGTCATTCCAGATGTTTTCCTTTAAAAATAACACGTGTTTTTTCTGCTATACTTTCCATTACTGACGTCAAAAAAAGATCTTTCTATCTTTCTATATCTTTCTATCTTTCTATATCTTTCTATATCATTCTATCTTCTTTATCTTTCACTATCTTTCTATCTTTCTATATCTTTCTATCTTTCAATCTTTCTATCTTCCTATCTTCCTAACTTTCTGTCTTTCTATCTCTTTCTTTCTTTTTCTATCTTCCTATCTTTCTATCCTTCTATATCTATCTATATTTTTATATATTTCTCTATCTTTCTATTTTGCTGTATTTCTAGATCTTTCTATATCTTTCTATCTTTCTATATCTTTCTATATCTTTCTATATTTTTCTATGTTTTTCTATTTTTCTAACTCTCTATATCTTTTATCCTTCTATGTATGGATCTTTCTTGCTCGGATTTTTTTAATTTTCTATATCTTTCTCTCTTTCTATATCTTTCTATCTTTCTCTATCTTTCTATCTTTCTATATCTTGCTATCTTTCTTTATGATCTTTCTATATATTTCTATCTTTTTCTATATCTTTCTATATCTTTCTATATCTTTCTATATATCTTTCTTTTTTTTTCTAATTTTCGGTTTGTTTATAATTTAATCTTTAGTTATTTTCATTTTTAGAGATGAACGCAGGCCGAAAGCTTATCTCCACCCAACGTGGCGGCCATAAATATTTTGCAGAAAGACTCGAGACAGGACACATCCCTAATCAGTTCGCTTTTTCGCGTGATCACTTTCTCCTTTCAGCTGTAGTTTTTTTCAGTTCCCAGCTTCTAACACAAGTCATGCGACCTCGCTTCTCTTCTCCAGCTTTTCTCTTCGCCCTTCTCCTTCTTCTATGAAGATATGAATATCCTTTAAAGGTCCTCTATAATCCTTATTTAGTTCGTATGAAGCTCCTTTTAGCCCCTTTAAAGCTCCATTCGTGCTAAATCTTAGCTAAATCTTTCTATCTTTCTATATCATTCTATCTTTCTACATCTTTCTATACCTTTCTATATTTTTCTATATCTTTCTATCTTTCTAAATATTACTATTTTTCTATATCTTTCAACATCTTTCTATCGTTCTATATCTTTCTATATCTTTCTATATCTTTCTATATATTTCTATATTTTTCTATATCGCCTGAAAACGCTTTCAGTACTGAAAAGACTTCGAGGCCTGAAAAGCTTTGATTACTGTAAGGCTTTCAGGTCTGAAAGGCTTTCAGGCCTGAAAACACTTTCAGTACTGAAAAGGCTTTCAGGCCTGAACTGCTTTGATTACTGTAAGGCTTTCAGGCCTGAAAACGCTTTCAGTACTGAAAAGGCTTTCAGGCCTGAACTGCTTTGATTACTGTAAGGCTTTCAGGCCTGAAAGCCTTTTGAGTACTGAAAGCGTTTTCAGGCCTGAAAGCCTTTTCAGTACTGAAAGCCTTACAGTAATCAAAGCTTTTCAGGCCTGAAAGCCTTTTCACTACTGAAAGCGTTTTCTGTAGGGCTTTCAGGCCTGAAAGGCTTTTCACTACTAAAAGGCTTTTCAGGCCTGAAAGCTTTTACAGTACTGATAACCTTTTCAGTACTGAAAGCCTTTTCAAGCTCGGTAGCTAGATCTTCGATGTTGTTGGTCAAACAGCCAAACTCGAATTCTAAATCGCGACCTCATGAGCTACGGTGTCAATTGATGAATTAAAGGGGAGATTTCTCGCCCTTCAATTCGTACTTCGCTTCTCCTCAAGAGTTATTCGTCTTTTTTTCTGCCATATTTTGTGCTTTTCGAGTGATTTCTTGTTAGAATAGACTTTTATTGGGTTTTGAACGCATATCTTACTAGTTTTAAGCATTTCCCAACATCTCGGAGTTTTTGTGCAGTTTTTAACATTATTAATACCATACCGCGCCACATATCACTCAATAATGTAAAAAATAAACTTGGATGTTATTATATCTCACTAGCATAAATGATTTTATGCGGCTTTCTTTCATTTTCTTTTTTTTTGCTATTAGAATTGTGTAATGGATCATTTTTAAGGATTTTAACAAATCTTTTATTTGGAAATTGGGATTCATGCTTTAGAAAGCAAACTTTTCCACTAGAAATTCTAAAAGTGATCCTTTGCTTGCTAGTGTTTTTTTTTTAACATTTTCTATTTTTAGTTATAACTTACTTCTCGCTCAACTCCTATGGCCGCTTATCAGCAACTATTTGGTCCCGCCATGGCTCACCAAGTTACCTATCGCAAGGCAAAATACGTACAAATGGTCGTGCCCGACGAGAAGAAACCTAAGAAATCGTCGAAGTCGAAGGCTCCGGTATTTTTACTTTTTACCTACTAATTTTATCAAATTCTAGCGTTTGCTTTTTTCTCAGGACGGTCTTAAAGTAAAGACGATCAATATCATCAACAAGCATCCAACAGAAATCATGTATTGTCTGGTTGGTGTATTTGAAAATCGTTTAAAGTTCATAAGTCAGTTTTTAGGATTTCAATACTGAAATCTCTTTAATAATAAAAGTCTTTCATTAACCCTAGAGCTTCTAAATGGTTTTCTATATAAAAGATTTAATTCAGATTGTTTTCTAGATTTATTTCTATATAAAAACCTTTCAAAACTAAAAGAGTTTCAGTATTTTTAGAGTCTCTAGATCCTTTTCTATATAAAAGTACGAATTCAGGTGTATGCACCCTTGCCGAAGGACGGATATGACAAAGAACGTTTCGTCGGCCGAAAGTGTGAGACGTTCAACAACGAATGGGTTCTTGAAATCGACGGAGGATGGCGTTTAGACGCACTTGGACTTGCAACGCACCCCAATGGACACATAAAGGTCATTGAGATCGCCCCAGCATCTAAAATCGAGATGAAGTTGCGTGCTCTAAAAGGTAAGTTCTTTATTCTATGAAAATAACGCAAATGACAGTCAAAGGGTTTCTACCTGTAAAAGAGAAAAGTCTCGTTATTATCTTGACGGAGGTCTAATGCATTATTTGATCGATTCAATTCTATTTTTAATCTTTAATTTTAGTTGAGAAGGGTGCTTATGTACTCAAAGTGTATGCTTGGGTCAAAGGATTGCATGTCAGCGAGCAGGTAAGTTATTTTGAGATTTGAATTCCAAATTTATTCTTTTTCTCAGGCAAGTGTTTCAATTATGAAGTATGGCCCTCGGGTACGAGCTGGAAAGTATCCAATCACTGAAGGAGATCTTTACGGTATTTCATTTCAGAAAATTATTTATTTTAACTTTTTAGCAAAACGCTTTGCCGATTTCTGTAAGGCGCAGGCCAATCCTGCAGACATTGCCTTGCTAATTTTTGCAGGTGCTTTACTGCCTCTTGAAGATCCTGAAGCGAGGATCTTCCAAGAGTTGGATGGCCTGCTCTTTCCGAATCGCCCTGCATTTGTGTCGACTTCATTAACTTCATCGGCTACTCCATCACCGTTGGCTCTATCGTTGATGTCATCTACTCCATCACTTCGATCGCCGACTCCAATTCTTCGATCGCCTTCTTCACGACCTCGATCATCTTCTGCTGTCTCTTCGATTAGTTCTAGTAAATCAATTTGGTCGCTTTAACACGAATAATTGTAATTTTTAGTATTTGATGCTGCTGTGTTTGGAGTTGCCGTTCCTCAAAACCCATCTTTATCTTCACCCACCACTCCTCTTGGTAATTTAAGTGCTGTTGGTCTTGCACATGTTGCTAATCGTGGTGAGAATTTTTTATTTCAGATTTCAAAGTCCCCTTTTATATTTTCTATTTACTTAATATCTTCTAGTTTAATAATCTAATCATTCTATTTAATCTATTTTTTAGTGATTCATCCTTATTCTATGGTACAGAACATGTCCTGCAAATCGCCTGTTGATGTTGTTACTACTCAGAAGCGACTTCGCTCCGGTGATCTATGTGATGAAGCAGGCCCTTCTAATAAGGTAAAACTTTACTACTATTTAAATTTTTTATATATATTCACTGTTACATTTAATTTTCTGTTTTTTCAGAAGATGCGTCATAAGGACGAGAATAGTGATAAAAACGGGGCTCTTATGGACTTGATTGATATATCAAAATCTCAACTGGGTGGTCATGAAAATGCATCGAGTGATAAAAACCAAGGTACGTGAAATTTCTATTGTATTTTTGCAATAATAGATTTTATAGAATTGTTTCATTATTTACAAACGTATAAATTTTCGATTTAAAAAGAGCTTTTGATTTTATAGATAATCGCATCAAGAAAAAGAATTATTGTCCTAAGTGTTACAAAACTATGTCTGGCAAGGCGTGTTTGCAATGCAAAGACGGGTGTTTGAAATGGTGGCATACGTAAGTTTTTTTTCAGAAGTTAACTTCAATAAGTTATTCTGATTTCAGACGTTGTTTTGATATCACGTTGCACTATCTAGCTGGTGCAGCAAAAGCTCGAGGACGTGATGGAAAAATGCTTTGTGCCGACTGTCGACAAAACATGTGACTTTAATTTAACCTTGTCTACTTCTAGGCTTTTCTACTTTTTTCGTTTCTAGTTCCAAAATCGTTGCTGTTTTATTCTTTGCATTTTCGTTTTCGAAGAAACCTGACGTTTTCGAAGAAACCTGAGGCGACCAAACTGATTATAAACTGGTTAGACTTCGGGCCGTTGATCCTTCTGATCATCGGTTTTCGTGGCATTCCTCAGAATTAGCCCAAAAGTCGTACCACTTTATTGATCATTTTGGTCATCTCGTAGTGGTTTCTTTGCATTTAAATTTATATTTCCATCACTCATTTTTTTTCTCAAAATTAACTAGTTGTTTATCTGAGTTCATTGTTTTGGATTTATAATTATGAATCTGTTCCACTTTCGTTTTTTATATATTTATTAAACAAATCTTTATAAATACAATTTTTTCATTGATGCTTTAATTCACCCCATATTATTTTGCGATTGAATACATTTTACGGAATATACCGAGAAGAAGCGTCTAAAAAAACTAAAAATTTTTCCTTCTATTCTAAATCGAAAAGTTTTGTAGTAGGTCTGTCTAGTATAACTGATCTCTGCACTATATTTGCATTTAGCATAGAATCTCAACAAAACCTTTACTCAATATCTTATAGAGTACTTTCTCTAGGTCCAATTTTTATGCAGCATTCTTAAAAATAGTGGTTTCGTAAGACTTTTCATCATGTCCTAACGATACCTCTATAAATTCTTACTGGCATGAATTTATTCTTTGACCCAGATTTTCTTCATGTTTTTATCTTAAAGTTACTAAGGATGTTGTCGATTTTTATTACGAGATTTCATAAGGAATATTTTAAGACGGATCACAAGTTGATCGGTCAACTGGAAGTGGGAGATATGAAGGAAGAAAAGGCAGCGATATAGGTGAAAGGAGTACCATTCTTGAGGATGGTTCCATTCTCAACGAACTTAATTTACTCTATGTTCATCGGTAAGTCTGCAAAAAAATAAAAAATAAAAATCTGTTTCTCGGAAGGTGAGGGGTTTTTCCTCCTTTTTGTGCAGCTTTCGTTGGTGGGGGTGACGGAGTGTTCTGCCCCGGATCCTGATCTCGGCTTGGCGACTCTTCTTTCTCTTTGTCAGCTCTTCGCTCTAGTTCGACGAACGATGGCCCCTTCGTTTGTCGATCCTTTCTTGTTGTTCATTCTATAGCAAAAGTATTTGAAAACCGCAACATAAACTCAGACGCTTCCAAGCTGTCAATAATATTTGTCCTTATTTGTTCTGCACACCCTGTAGTTGCTCCTATTTCCCCACCAAATATAAGAAAAAACTACTAGCAATAGGACACTACCTGAATAAGGAAAAAATAACAAAATTTCCCTTAGCCTCGGCAAATGATTTGCGTTTGCGTTGAAAATTATTGATTTGCAGAAACGTCCAAATCAGAAAGTAGCCGGAATAAAATTTTTTGATCGATAAGAATTCTTTTAAATGCATATGCAAATTTCAGGAATAGTTTTTTCTTTGTGTTCATGATTTGTGTTATTCAAGTATTGTTGTTTTAGCAATAAAAAGTTGTAAAGATTTTGATACAATGCTTTTTCAAGTTCGTACTTGTCGCTATTAAAATTCGAGGTAGTCGGAGTCGGGGGAGCTGGCTGGCTAGGCTGAGAGGGTTTGTCTATGCCGACTGCGAGTGTCTGTCTCCTCTCTCGTAGATGAACTTTGTGTGGTGTATTGCCCCTTCTCTGCCCTTAATTATTTGTTGGGGAAACCTGTTTATAAGAGAAAGTCAGATATCCCGCTCGTTTCTCGTCACAATCACCCTTCTTTGCCATTTCATCACCTTGCAACCTTTTGTTCTTCGTTTCTGTCCCCCCTAGTATTCGATGATTTTCAAACTGCCGATGTTAGACTGGAGTAAAGAAGGTTAGTAATGGATTAGGAATTGCTCATTATTGCTATCTATTTACTCAATATCATAAACAAATAACTTTTGACAATGAAGACGAAAGACAAACGAAAGACAATGAAACCAAGGCAGGAGGTGGTCTGGCTGGCTTGGCTTAGCTAATCAAATTTTTAAATCTTTTTAACTTTAACTAGTCTAAGAATCTAGAAAACGTTGATTTTCTTGAAATAATTTCATTGTTGAATGATCGCCTTCCCTTTTCAAGAAGTTGAGTCAATTAGCTGATCGAATCGAACCCATCAAAAGAGATCGGATCGATCGAATCATTTTCTCTTTTTATCTCATAAAAGGTCTCTTTTCTTTTCTCTTTTCATTATCAGGAGATCTCAAATTTCACTTTTTACATACAAAAACCGGCACATCTTTCCGACAAACAAAAAAAAACGCCTGATGGCTATCCATGATTGATAGGAAAGCTCATTTTCAAAAGGCTACTTGAGACAAAGTTTAAATAAAAAATAAAATAAAATTTGAACAAAATAAAATAAAATTTTCAAGACTACAACTGAATATCTTAATTTTTTAAAAAAGGTTTAAGCTTGAAGACAGCTAGAAGACAGCTAGAAGACAACTTGAAGACAGCTAGAAGACAGCTAGAAGACAACTAGAAGACAGCTAGAAGACAGCTAGAAGACAGCTAGAAGACAACTTGAAGACAGCTAGAAGACAGCTAGAAGACAGCTAGAAGACAGCTAGAAGACAGCTAGAAGACAGCTAGAAGACAGCTAGAAGACTCCTTTTTCTGTCTTGATTCTGAATTTGAGTTGAAACTGTAAGAACTTAAAAAACCATTTAGGTGGTAGGCCACTCAGGCTCACCCGTCGGGATGGGAATGCCGGGCGCGATGCAATTCCGCCACGTCGTCTCCTTCAGCTCCCTCCTCATCGGATATGGATCAATTGGTAAACTTTATAATAATATAATAGTAAGCTGTGGATATAATAGGTCTCTGATATATAGGTCTCTGATATGTCTAAATGATTATTATTGTTTGCAGGTACGTGGCTCGTCGCAAGGACCCGTTCCCAGTGCCGAATCCGGATTTCTACCGCGATCGCAGAAAGAAGGACATTCATAATATGAGTGAGTTCATTTCATTCATAATTATCAATGAAATCAGAAGTTTTTATTAGCTATTATATTTATTATTATTAATATTATTAATATTTAGAAATACGGTATAGACAAGGGAATTACAGACGCGCGAAAGTGACGATCTTTTTTAAAACATGAGATTTCATTGTCCAGTAGTGTAGATACCCGTTAAACCATTCTACTAAGCGAGTAAATAAAGATTAAGGATAGGCATTTTTGGAGGCAAATCTAGGAACTCAAGGAGATCTTGGCGAAGAATGGCCTCAAGGCGCCCACCAAAGTTCTTCCTACATTCCCAGCCCCTGGATCAATCAAACAGGAGATCGAAGAGAGTCGAAATCAAACCCCATGGGATCACTTGTAAGCGATTGCTCAACTCTTCTCATGACTCCCCTCGAGAAGACACACAATCAATCGGCTCCCGATTGGGTAATAAAAAAATCAGCAACTAGTACTAGGTCCCCAAATTTAAGTTCTATATTTTGCTCTTTTTGTTTATTTTTAGTCCTCATCGGGTTTTATGTCACAACGTCAACGTTTTTTAAAACATGAGATTGTCAGAGTTGTGACATAACGTTTTATGTCACAACTCTGACACGACGTCTGCGATGGCGATCGCCTCCCCGCTAGGATGTATTCACCATGGGTCCGATCAATTCTTTGGCTCAAGTCCACAAGGTCATCAGATGCCACAATGGAGGTGGAGAAGTTATAGATATATCAAACAAAACTTCGTCTAATTATATTCTATTGCTTGTTTACAATATTAGATAAAGCCAGTATCAAATGGGAGCAGAGTGGCCAATTTGGTAGCAAAATAGAAGCTAAAGTATAAGTTTATTGTAGAAGTAGCTACAGTAGTAGAAGTGAAAGTAGAAGCCACGGTGGCTTATCATAAGAAATTACTGTATCAAATACTTGCCATTTCTATGTATTCAGATAAAGTTAGTGTCAGTATTCAGATAAAGTTAGTGTCAAATAGAAGCAGAAAGTGGTCAAATTTGGTTGCAAAGTAGAAGCTACAGTAGCTTATTGTAAAGTAGAAGCAAAGTAGTAGAAGTAGAAGTAGAAGCAAAGTAGAAGCTACAGTAGCTTATTGAAAAACAGTAGAAGATTACTGTATCAAATACTTCCCTTTTCTATTAGATCGCTCAACTCTTTCTATTACTAAACTATAAACTCTTTCTATTACTTCCCTTTTCTATTAGCTTACAATTAGTTATTTAGTTTATAGTCAGTAAGTATTCAATATCTAGTTTCTAATAGTATTTCTAAATAGCTCTAACATTTGCAGATACCGCCCCGACAGCCACAAAGGGATGCACCACGGGCCATTCATTTTAATATGAAATATCTAATATGCTCTGCATATAGAACAATCCACTCCTCCACTCGGACCCGTCGATGTCACAAGCCGGTGGCCCGTCGCCAAACCTTGCCGCCAAAGTCAGATGAGCGCCGATATCTCGTGGGATCCATCGAATTTCAGGTATGATGAAAAGAAAAGGGATATACAGTGCGTTTCAAATTCTTAAACGCACCCTCTAAAATAGCGAATTTTGCATTTTGACCACCTCTACAACTATTAATCTTTTTTCTATTAGAAAGAGCATGTCTTAAAACCTAAATAACACGAAAAATAAGCATACTGTAAAAAACAAAAATTTTCAAAATAGAAACTTTTTGCTAAATCAACCGTTTCAAATTCTTAAACGCACTATGAAAATATTTTTATTTATCGACATAAATTAAAAATCAAAGGTAAAAAATCAAAACTAATAATCTGTCCACGCACCAGAACGATTAATTACTTGAAAAATGCGGTCTGGCATTGAATTGATGAGGTTTTGAAGAGCAGAGACGTCGAGATCGCTCCAGGCCGAAAAAATTGCTGCTTTAAGTGTAGAAACGTCTTGAAACTGACGATGATTCTTGTAGACAGCTCGAACAAGTA